CGATCGATTGTGTCGCGCGCTCTCGCTCGTCCTGTCCCGGAAACCCGTCGCTATTGCTCCACTTTCCGTCGACGGACCGCGCGCCCCCGTGATTTTCTCGCTTTCCGTCCCGTCTTTTTCCCCTTTCTGCCCATCATTTTTTCTCTCGCCTCACGGACAAATTTTGAAACAAAATAAAAAAAATAAATAAATTTACAAGAGACTCTCTATCTCGGGAACTCGAACACTCCAATTAAGTATCTTCCAATGCCGTAACGAGCTCGAGTTGGCGCGTGTCACCGCGAACGTTTATTATCGTTGCGTAATTAAAACAGTAGTCGCTCGTGGTCGCGCGAAACGAATCATCGGCTCGGCGTTATTTCCCTATTTTCGCAATCCAATAACGTTTTCCAATTAGGCGCATCCGTTGTACCGATGTATCGACGACGAGCGGCGTTGTGTGTCGCGTAACCTACCTACCTACCTGGTCTATTCGCGACAAACGACACCGCGCGACGTTACATAATCAACACGCCGTGTGTCACACGGCGGAGCAATCGTTTACGCGCGCACCCACCGCGCAAGAGAGACTCGAAATCGTTTCCTTTACAAATTCTCCCCTCATCCGGATTCAACGAAATCAACGCGGATCCGTGTAATTATTCACGTGTCAAATACGCGTGTTTCCCCAACTCGACCGCGAACTAAACGCTCGCGCTCGGTTCTGTTCCGATCGATAGATGCATTATGCTATGCCTCAATATCTCGCCAGCGCTTTCATGTTAAATGCGACGAGAGCTCCCCAAGAGCGGAGCGAAAGTACGCGGAGCGGAAATGGAAGCGAAACAATGTCGGAGGCTCCCGACAGATTCGCGACTCCTCTTCTCGCGACAAGAAAAATATAAACTTTTTTTTTGTTTCCGTATCCGAGAGAAAGTTTTTGGTAAAAACAATCGCCAACACGCACGCGTGACGTGTCACTCGTTGTGCCACGTCGTTGTAATCTAATTACGTAACTGCGACGAGAGCGGCGCATCTCGGTCGTCCCGCCGAGACGCCAACATTTTTGTCATCCACTTTGCGATCCGCACTCGCTCCGTAGACAACCTTGAACGGACATTGCAATTTCGTAACGACGACCGTAATGACGGTATTTTCAGCCATTGTTTTTTAAAAGCACGTAAGATAAGAATGACGAGCGCATCCCGGAGTAAACACATCGCGTGCGCACCATCGGCGGTACGCGGAGTTATGCACGCAATTTGTAAACGCCCCCGCACACGATCGTAAGACTTCGCTCGATTATGCGAGCTTGCGCGTGCGATAGATGAAGAAGAGAAACGTGCGAAATAAGACGAGAATGAGAGAAAGAGAAAGAGACAAAGAGAAAGAGAAAGAGAGAACGCGAAGAAGCAGGACGACGATGGGAAACGACGATGTGTCGGAGGGGGAAGAGAGGGGTGGTATAATTGGCTAAGCCAAGTTCAAACGATCGTGTGTCTCTGGTCGAGCGACATTCCACGAGCAGATGGCCTTTGGTATGCAAAATTCACGCGGTATAAGCGCAGCTGTCCACGTGTATGTAAAAGGATGCAAACGAGGTGAATAAACAAAAAACAAAAAAAAAAAAAGGCGCGAAAAGAATAGAAAATTGCCGCGCGTGGTTTCTCATCGAGTTTAACGTCGATAATAATAATATCGCGTGTGCATATAAATATCGGAGAATGCGACACAATTCTCTCACTCGCGTGAAACATTTCTCACGTGATAAGAATAATTCAGGCCGCGTCTTTAACTCGGCGAAATTGAACACAACAACGTTCGATCGCGAGCGATCGATTAATTTTTTTCGCGCGCGTTGTACGGCAGAGAAAAAAAAACACACACGCACGTACGCAGTTTCGACTAACGTCGTTAATTCGATCGTTAAATCGACGAACGATCATTGAAACGATCAAATAATTTGTTGCGAAATAAATTTAAATTAATCGCGCGATAAATCGTTTTTGTTGAATATATGTTTCATCTTTTCTTCGTTTTCCGACAAACGGCGATCTCTCCGAGATAAAACTGCGTAATTGCAATTAGTTAGCCGACAATTAATCGTGTTGTCGCTTGGCGTTTTCCTGAGTAGTTTCCATTCTCGTGCATCTTTTCCATGTACTCAACCGCAGGAAAACGCTACGTGGTACAAAGTACGCAGTCGACGACTTTGAACACCGGAGAATCCTCGTAAAGCGTCGAGTGACGTAACGTTGGTGTATAATGATATAAAACAACTTCGGAGTGAGAAAAAAAATGACTACAAAAAAATAATATTCAGTCGGTGCATTCGCAAATCAAATGTAATTCGCGTTACGTAACGCGCGCAACGTCGTCGAGTAGAAAAAAATTCGTCAAATACGACAGATGTCGTACGTTTCGCGATTTACTTCTCGATTTTTTTTATTTTACGGAGGAAAACCAAAATTTTATTGTTCCTCTCTGTGAATCGAGTTCGCAAGTTGGCAGAATGTTGCACGAAAAAGAAATTTTGTTACAGTACGACCAGCAAGAAAAATTTGCCAATTGAATTGTTTGTTAACAAATTGACGGCAAGGCAAACAAACAGGCTTAGACAATTTTTCTTCTGTCATATGTTAACTTCTTTGCTATTCCAACAAACATTTTTTTTCATGTGAGACAAGAACAAATTTTGTTCAATATCAAGTCGATAAGATAATGTCAAAGTGTGAAACATTTACATAGTCGAACGCACGACTGTCGGCACGTGCTCGACATCTGTAAACTGAAAGAAAAACAAAAAAAAAAAAAAAAGATAATATCGTAATAATCGTTAAGTCCGGATGATAATTAACATTGATAATAATAATCACTCACTGATGAATTAGTTGACAAGTGTTAATAAAAATAGCAAGGTTCGGTAATTGTTGCCAACGCAACCGATTTGTGATGATATTGTACATACGTATCGTTAATTAAATACCATTGAAATGCGGCCGCGAGAATACAGTTGGTTTAATTGTCACAAGACGTATTTTTTTTGTCACAAGGCGTATCGTCGATATCTAGTCATTGACTGTCAATTTGCAAAAACATTCACGTAGGTTTCTTGTCTTGCGAAATCGATTCGCACACAGCTGTCGCTGAATATATTTGCACACATGACAGTCCATTGGGTAAATTAACCGCAGAATCTGGGCCAGTTACAACACCTGACGGACGAGGCGCAATCTTTGACACGAGGAATCCGACGACGAGTCTCCAACACACAAGAGACGCTGGTGCCAAATTTAAATCTGCGACCGCATCTCGCGACAGATACGGATCTTCGTCGATGATCTCGCGTCTCTCGTTAAAACCAAGAAAAAAAAAAAGTATATCGCACGCGAATTGAACTTGCGAGGTTATTCCGTTTTACAACGTGTAATGCAAATATTACGATCTACGAGCGATATAAATTACAGTTGCCGACAGCAACTCGCAAGGCAACGAATGACGATCCGCGATCCTTACGCCTACTCGACTGCAAGTCAATATTTACGAGACATTTAATGCGAAAGGGTAAGGGGCGGCGCGCGCGCGCTTCACAAGCGAGTTTTACGTAGGGCGCACTCGAGCGAAGTCAAAGTGAACGAAAGCGGCGCAAAGCGTCCCGAAGAATTAGATTACAGTGTAACGAGTGTTGTAGGTTAAGTAACGCGAGAAATCGACAGGTTGTTTGAAGCGAGCCGCACTGCCACGCGCGCCGCACGTCCTTTGAGGAAACATAATTGCGTTTTTTTTTATTTGACTTTCAAGTTATTGTAAATTGTAAACGGTGTATTTTTTTTTTTCAATTTCTTTTTACATTTCATGATCGCGTCAGAGAACTCGCACGTATCTTCGAATTATGAAATATAATGAGATTTTCCAAAGCGCGAAAAGAAAATTTATATTTAAAGCTCGGCGCGAAAGAAAAGAATCGTTTTTGTTTCCGAGCGGGAGAGCTTTAATTTGTTGCGTAAGTGCCGCATAAACAGCGAATTCTGAATAGCAAGGTTGAAATGCGTGGAAACGTACTACTCACGTCTTTAAAGAGGCACACTCGCTCCGCGGTTAGGCCTGGCGACATATATTGCATAAGTCCCGACACATCGTCGAGTTAACACTTTTCAGACGACAATTCTCTCTGCACGCGCACCTCGGTTCTCTCGCGCGGCGGGTCAATTCGCGGCAACGCGCGATTACAAAGCTTTTGACCGTATCAGGAGTGATGCGATCCTGAATTTCTTTTCAACGCAACCGCACGCACAAGTCACACTCGATGAAAAAATTGAAATTCGCAAAAACCAACGAGCAAAAATATGAAAAACTAAGAGAGCGAAAATTACAAAAAAGAAATATACTCCGTACACGCTCCGATCTCTCTTTTTTTTACATCTTAGAGAGAGATTGTCAACAACATAAAACATGACAGAAAGTTGACGCGTTGTCCTATACATACGTAATGGGAATTAAAACAGTGTGTCGTTGAGTATCTGTCGCTTCACTTCGTCGTCAAATAATTTCAAATTAAGATACCATTAAAGTTTAATGACATTAATAATTCATCGCGAGCTCTGGGCGATAAAAAAACTGACATTCACCGACACGGCGATATTGATCGAGGCAACGAACGTCAGGCAGGAGTCGTAGGTACACGACAGTGTGTGCGCGCGTATAATTAAAAAGGCCATTATGAAACAGCGGTTAGGAAGGCGTAGAAAAAAAAAAAGAAAAAAATCTCATTTATCTCTCCGCAAGATATCTCACAACTCTCCTCTCTCTACTTCTCTCTTCGTCTTCTTTTCCTCCTATGTACCTCTCTCGCGACATATATACCTAGCACACAAGCATGCGACACACGCACACGCACACACGCACGCACGCACACGACGTGACAGACAACAGTGTGAGACACGCAGTCACGAGCGTGTACACGTTGCTCGTTGATACGAAAACACGTGCGCTTTAACGCGCTCGACGATGCATATACACACCTGTAGTACGTGTTACTCCTCGAAGTCGCCGCTTAAAGCACCCAACACACGCGTTCCTGTAATCCGTCCCTGCAGTCCGACGTCCACTCCTTCCACGCGCCGCGGCACCTACAAGATAGATCTCTCTTTCTCTCTCAGAGATTCTCCGTCTCTCTCCCTCCCTCTCTCTCTCTCTCTCTGTGTTACACGCGTGATGTACGCATATGTTTCGCGTGCGCGTAAACGTGTGTCAAGAGCCGCCGAACAGTAATCACGGATGAGAACGCGAGAGAGTTGGCGCCAGAAATTTGTTTTTTTTTTGTTTTTTGTTTTTTTTTTTTGTTTTTGTTTTTTTCTCCCCTTTTGTTTGTTCCTTGTCGTGTGATCGATTTTCTTTTTTAGCCTATAACGAGATGAGAGACGGAAAGCGCGAACGTGGTGAACGAAGAAGAGTAACACGCAGCTCAGTGTACCAGCGGAGACTGGCAACTTCCCCTCGGTTTTGTCGAGTGCTGGCCGCTATAGCGCAATAGGTATATAGAGCGCCACATATCGTGTGTACGCGCTCTTGCCGCTGGGTAAAAGGGGAAATCGCGGGGGGTGAAAGGAGATCGGCGGGGAAATCGCGGGTCCGATGGAGGTAAAGCGATAGGTACCTTTCCGGGAGGAAGAGAGAATAGGAGAGACAGAGAGAGAGAGAGGGATAGAGAAAGTGAGAGAAAACAAGAAGGGTGGAAGGAGAAGGAGGGGATCAGGTCGCACGCTCTCGGCGTTGTGACGTAATTCGAGTCATCCTGGATGTGTTGCGTGGAGGGTTGAGATAAAAGAGAGGAGAAGGGGTGCCCGCCGCACCAGGTGGGGCGCAACTCCCCGATGGTGGGAAGAGGGCAAGGGCGCCATGGTGGGGCTGGGAGGGGTGGGAGGGGTTAGGATGGCGGTCATTAGTGCTACTGGAACACGGAAGCAAATTCTCGAACGGTACCTCCCGTGCTCAACCTTCACCGGCTGTTCTCCCTTCCACTCTCCCCTCTTCCTCTCCTACTCTCCCTTTTTCCTTCACGTTGCCTCCCACGCGCGACCAGGTATCACGGTACTACCTAACCGCTCTGATGTCTCTCTCTTTCTCTCTGTTTCTCTCACGCTCTTTCCGCTTCGGAGGTGCAAGCACGATGCACCTACGGTGCAGCGCAGCCCGAGGGGGGAGGCTCGCGCACCCTCCGTAGCTTCGCCGTGCACATATATATATATATATATAGAATCTTTCGGAAGCGAGTCCCGTAAGGGGTAGCTCGTCGTGTAAACGGGAAGAGACAGGGGAGAGGAAAGATTAGGTCGCGCTCGCGACCTCGTCCTTGCCGGGGTCCAAGATCGCCGACGTTCTCTTTCTGCGGTCAGCAATTTTGCGTACGCGCCAATGTAAGACGCGCTTGTGTGTACAAAAAAAAAAAAAAAATCAAGTATACACACTACTCGTTGTGTGTGCTCTTTTTCTCTCGACACGTTCGTCGGAAATTGTTGCGATGTATCTTATCTTGTTTTCCGAAATTTCTACGGAAATTTCTGCGGTAATTCCAACTCTTCGCGCACCGAGCGGTGTTGTTCTCTGAATTAATTTATGTGACGGATTCCATTGAGCGTTTTGAAATAGGGTAAACTGGAGTTTGCGTGCGCGCGCGAATAAATTTATAATATTAGCTATATAACACTTGGGTCTCTCTACTTGCCGGATTCGCTTAACAATGTGAATTGTATACAACGCGATAAATACGGGTACGTAAATACCGTCAGGCGGTGCGCGCGCCGACAGTCATTAATATTTAATTGCTAGTACAAATAATCATGTTGATTTTGAAACAAGCGATTGTTGATTTCACACGAAGTATTGAATTATTAAAAAAAAAAATTGTTCAACTTCGCACACACGTCCGGACGTGCAATTAGCAAATTATGTTGTAATTATTATTATTAATATTTATTAAATTGATTCACATTGATTCGATTGTTGCGACAATAACAAATCGTGTGCGAGAGGCGAACATTTTCCGTCGATTCACAAACACTTTCAATTTCCGACGACTTTCAAAGAATCGAGAGAGTAAAACTTGCAAGAAGCTTAAGATGGACTTAAATTACTCAATTATCCGTCTTAATGGATGGTCTGTAGTTTCAATCGGGATCTGTCACAAGAGCGTGTAATTAATTTCACGTTAACTCAATTTCCTTGCCTCTCGTCGTAAATTGCGGAAAGAAATTTTTCATTTTCATATGTTTTAATTCTCGCGCGGAAAAAACGTTCTTTAATCTACTCGAACAAAATTACCTTGTGTAAAGCCTTTAGATAATCCGAAAATTTCCGCTCTCACACGTATATTTCACTCAAACGTGCGAACATTGTCAACTTACACAATCGGCGCAAATCTTTGTCAAGTGGAAATTACACATTTGCTTTTTTGTTTTTTTTTGGTTTCTCGTATAAGAGCGCGACGCAAGAGCGGCTCCTTTCGTGTATAAATTTACTGCTATATATATATAGCGAACAGACTGCGCGACGTAATTACGAAACTTCCTTAATTTCCGCGGATCCTTTGTGCTTTGATTTACGTTCCGTAATGGCGGCGATTATTTCCTGCGGATTTCGAACACAACGTATCATCACGATCCGGCGCGCGCCGTTATACGAAGCTGTGTTGGAAATTTCAGCTCTCTTGGCTCGCTGATATACCGTGGTTGTGAATACGAACCGCGGTCGTTATATCTCTCTCGGCGCGATACGTAAAAGAAAAACGCAAAAAGCTCCAAGTTGCCCGAAGAGGCAATATTGATCAACGTCGTGCTGAACTCTGATATTTGGGATTATAGCCCGGCGGGAGCTCCCGGCTTCGAGAGAGCGAAGCCGCCATTGGCGAAAAAAACATCGTCGTACTTAACCGATGCAAAATCGCGTAATCGGATAAGTTTTTTTTTTTTTTTTTTTTCAACAATTTTTTTCCTCCCACAATGGCAAAAAAATACAAAAACAAACTCGCGCGTGGAACGACCACGTGTGAGAAATCTTGATTTTCTTCGTTCGCCATTTCGAAACCGGCGTCGGTCGCTCGCACTAACATCAAGAGGTCAAGGCTTTTTTCTGACATTGTCGTATCGATGGCCGCGAACTCGCTGTCGTCGGTCGAGTCGATCGAACGGCGAACAGCGCTGCATTATTTTCACGCTGAATATTGTATCACTTTTGATACGTGCGCGCGTCTGCACGCGGAACATCAAGACACTTGACTCGATTAAGCATCTAAATGTTCTACGAAAGTGGATTAAGTCCGAATACACAACACGGTGTGTTTTTCTCGCACCAGAACTGTGAGAATCGCGATAATTGCAAAACTGCGAAGTTATAAATCCCACAATTCAACAAAACGAGATTGACTTCAAGTTTTCAATAAGAAAAAAATTAAGCTGCTTTGAATTAACATATAAATCAAGATTTTTCCCTCAGAAAATATGGAATTGATCATTTTTTTCTAATTAAAAGGCAAAAAAGTTTCGCCGAATGCAAACACATGTGCGTTTTTTGCGAACGTTTGCTCGAGGTGATTATATTCTCGAATAAAGTTTGTTTTCCATCACGCGACTAAGCTCGTGTCTAATCGCTGTCGCCCGCGAAACAAATTTTATCGATCTCGATGACAAGAGAACAGGTCGCGAAGCGATTATACACGTTGTCGTTCGATCGCGGCCAACGCGAAAATTCGTTGACGTGACAATGAGTTTCGTAACTCTGCAATAACGAGCGGCGGAAACTCGCACGAGAGAGAGGCGGGCATTCCTCTCTCAGTTAAACCTCAAAGAGCAAACACACAACGAGCTGGATGGAAAATCGACGTTAGGATATTCGTTTCAAAGCGACTCGTCGCGGGGAATCTCCGAGACGTGTATAACGCGCGCGCGCGGCTAAGTTCGTGCTCGCACTGATGGAAAATCGACGTCGTCGGCAAAATTGCATCGGAAAGCGAATTCAACTCGCGTCTCGCGAGAGAGATTCCGTTCGATAGCCACAAGAACGTCTCACCCATATATTCTATCTCGCTGTGGGATAAATGGTGCAAGGACACACACTTTACAAGACCGCGCAAATATCGTATTTTACGCAACGTTAAAAAATTCACCATTGAGATTTGACATTTTTGTGAAAAAAAAATTTGAAATTTCCGTGAATCTCACGACGCCACAAGAGCGAAAATGACACATCGAGCGCTACACGTTCTCGCTGTAGTCACGCGAGTATGTATTGATTTTCTTAGCGATTAATAATAAGCGCGCGTCAGATTTTACCGTATTTCCAGGAGAATATCCGGGGGTAAACGCCGGAATTTTGCAGCCGCGTGTACGGCCTCTCTCGTGCGCGAAGGAATGCCTTTCGCACGCGCGCGTTCCGCCGCCGCACATGTGCACACACGCTCTGTCGTCCCACGCGTGTTTCTCTCTGTAGTACGTCGCACTGTTATCGCATACCGTCGCGCACATACTAACGAGATATTTCATAACGGCGGATTAGCGGGGGCGCGGATTCAGAACGGTTCCCTAATCACCATGGCGATGGCAATTAATTCCGGGATGCGCAGGCGGCAGAACACGCCAGCGGCCAGGTCGTGTGCTTCGATTTACGGTGCGGCGTCTGGAAATTAATTTCTCGCCCACAATCGACGACGACGACGACGATAAAAACGATGTCGACCGACGTCGTTCTTCCTCGCGTGATTTCGTTCCAGTTTTCCTCGCGAAAGAGAGAGAGAGAGAGAGAGAGAGTTCTGACAAACTGCCGGGCCAAAAGGTCACGCGAGTTTTGTGAATATACGATGAGAGTTAATTAATGCGGCGATTATACGAGATTGTCATTACTTCTCAATATACACGATTTGATTTAATAACGTCGCGTGTAATCGGGAATCGTTCCAGTTTGAAGTTTAATGGCAAATCAATAATTCGGTTGCGGTCCAAATATGGCAATTGGAACGTCGTAAAGATAGAAATGCCAGAACGGAAATAAACGCGAGTCCTTTAACAACGTTTTTCCATCCAATAAATTAATCGGATATTACGCTTAATAGTATTCCCGATCGATGTACATATATAAATGGCGTCTACGTCATTTGTCACATCTTGAAGATGTTCGCGCGACTCTCTCTCTACCTATCTATCTCTCAAAGTAAAAAAGAACGGAAAGTGGAATTTAACAAAATTGATATTTTGTCGCGATATCTCACGAAATTCCGCGCCGCATCGCTTCAGTCTCGCGTAACATTTGTTCACTCTATTATATTCGTCGTTTTGCTATTGACGAATCTGGGGACGCGGAGACACGTGAAGAAAGAAATCGTCCCCGTCCGTCCGGACAAGAGAAAAAGAGACTTAATCTTCCGCAGCTTTTCCTCCTTTCAGAAGAACAACTCGCTAGACGAGACGACCG